CCCCAAAACCCCAAAACCCCAAAACCCCAAAACCCCACTAACTTGCCAACCTTGAAATATTCCTTACAGGTAATAATAATAAACAACATGGCTAACCTAGAAAACAACTGTACTGACCTGGTGTAAGCAGGGGCTAAGAACAACTTGGGTCTTTTATGCGAGGTGGAAATCTTGGGGGATGGCGGGGGATAGGAGAGATAATTTTGTGAGGAGCATGAGAAATGATGAATTTATAGGCGAAAATGTGATTTTGAAGCACAAAATTTTAAGTATGCTAAAGTAGGTAAGTGAAAAGGTCCAACAGGGTTTGATGAGTTTAGAAGGAAGTGTAGGTTCCAGACTTGAGAAGGAGAGAAATAAGGTGGCTGATAGAGAAGATTCAGGCAGCAACCGGAATTGTAAGTGCAGTCAGGAGATAAGAGATTTATATATTCTTTAAGGAAATTTTATATTTTAGCTGTTTTTTGTTGCATTTTAGAGGAAAAAGAGTAAATTAGGTGATTTTACCTCCTTCATAATGTCTAGAACTATTTATAGATAAGTTTAATCCAAGTTATTTTAGGAATTGAAAGTAGTAAAAATACTCAAGGAAGTTATGCGGTAGCTAAAACAACTACAGCTCATTCAAATTGTGATTTGGAGAAAAATAAAAGGTAGGGTTTGAAATAAATTTAAATTTTCTTCAAAGGAAAAATTCTAAAATTCTTTATTCTGATACTAGCATTTTTGAATCGGAAATTACTATGGAATCTAAAATTTGTGATTTACATAATCAATTCCTGAAGTCTACCTAATTCAGCCCTTCTCTTATCTCTAATATCTTCACAGAGTCAAGGGGAATATCTCAACTAAGAATCGGCATCAATCATTGAGACCAAGTTTCCCACTTGATAAGGAGACTTTTAACGTAATTTTCCCTGCCAAAAATGGCAAAATTTGCAAAAATCCCGACACAAGTCGTTACAAGGACAAATCTTCTTTGAAACGGGACCTATGGGAAGACACCAACTGAGAGGCTACTAGCAGGGATCTCAGTCATGGGAATAGCTCTAAGAAAACACTCAGAAAGTTTTCCAATTTTCACAAGAATCTCAAAAGAACTACATCTAGAGGTAAACACCAAGTTCATATACCTTTAGAGAAGAGAGACACCATCAGAGGCCAACTGGTTGAGTTCGGTGTCAGGAAAAGAGACCCAGAAAAAGATAGGTTTAAGCGTAAAACTTCTGCTAAAGCAAGCACTCAAGATAGTGATAAGGCAGTAAAGAGATATCACTCCCAAGCATCTAATACAAAGAATGAGACAGATTTGAAGACAAAGAATGAGTATTATCTGATGGCACGTCCTCCCTCTATCAGCACTAAAATCCCTTCCAAATTTGAGGATGCATATTCTATATTTAGCAACAATCTGCTAAATTTTGAAAATAGGATTAGAGGTAGCACGAGTGGTGAGAAACATAAATACAAGAGATCAGCGAGGAAATTACTCCTAGAGTCTATTAATGGAGAACCCAATACAAATAACAGCATGCATAGCCATTCTAAGATCAAGAAATTACCCCAAGTGTTTGCTGCTGGAACTCCAGTTAAAAGGAAAATGTTTGGCCCTTCCAAAAATATTCAAGCCTATAAGGAAAAGTCTTCTTTCCCTCATAATTTCTCTGTGGATAAGACACAGGAGTACAACCTGCCTTCATTGAATAACTTGAGGGAGGATCCTGATAAAAGTTCAAAAGCTGGGAACTGAAAAATGGGTAAAAATATCCCAAGGTCTTTGTCCCAGCCAAGGTACAACCTAGTCGCCAATGCTAGGTCGACTGAGGAAGGGCTTACACATGCATTTAATGGACACATTAAAAGACTTGAGAGCTCGATTAGTAAGCTCTAGCCCATTTTAACTCCTGTTTAGGCACAAATTTGAAGAAGTCAGCTCAAGAAAGACAACACAATCTCTCAAATCACAACATCAGCGAGGTCGGAGCACTCTCGAATAGGTTCGAATCAGGTGTAAATTTGTAAGTAACCCAGCCTACATGACTTAACTTTGAACTACAGGAGAAAGCATAGAGGAAGGATTTACAAAAAGGCCCATAATCTGTCATGCTCAAGTAACTATAAAGAACCAAATATGGTGCTGAGAGAGTTTGGCATCGGACAAAACCTCGTTGGAGATTTAAAGCACTGCGTGAAAGCTAAGATATCCAAAACTCCTGCTAATTTCGCCAACACGATGGCAACGGAGGCTGAAGACAACTTTAGCACGAGGTATAAAAGCACTCAATTGAGGTATAATTCTGAGAAATCAGATGACATTCATCAGAAAAGTGTTATACTCTGTAATCGGCAAAACTGTTTGTCTCAGGAGAGTGGTGCTTTAGTACACAAGAAGAGCAACAATACCAATCTTGATATGGACAAGAATAAATATTTTAAGAGCAGGTATACAAGTCAACCCAAGATCACTACTCCAAGTCTCAGCCAAGGTAGCAAAAATAAAGGTATGATTTTCACTTAGCTCTAGAATTTACGATAAAATTCAAGAATCCTCTTAAAAAGCAAACAAATAATATCACAGCTCTGAATGTCAAAAATGGGGAGCCATTATTTAAGGAGCCATCTAAGCTCAAACTAGTATCTAAACTTGACCTGAAACGGGAGAAAACTCTGCATGAAGCTTTGCCTTTGGACAACACACACACTCATAGCCCTCAGAAGAATTTTGGGCTACGTATGAACACTGAAATGAAGCTGACCAATCGAGCTAAGAGATTGGACGATTTATTGAAAACCCAGAGGTCTTCCAAGAAGACCACTGGGTTCATCAGAAAACTTCAATCGCTACAAAGTAGGTCAGGTTCCTTTAACACTATGTAGCCACTGCTAAGAGACAGAAAGGGGCGACCTCGAGCAATGTTAAGAAGACTGGAGAAGCCAGGAACACCTCTAAAATGTATAATATGGCATACCCTGAAGATCTTGGAGAACTTAAAAGCAATGCCTCTACCAAGAAACCTTACCAATTTTCCCAACATTTGGACAACTCTGGGCGTGAGTGCAGCCTAAAAGAGGTAAAGCAGTCGTTCGAGGAAGTATTCTGCTCTAAAGTTATTCGTGATGATAGCTCAGATGAATGTAACAAAGCAGACGATAAGATCACCGAAGAGAATGAAAGTAGTTTTAGCAACTATCAGTATGAGTCCTGGTTCGAAAATCTTCCTGAGATGGAAATTGACAGCGAAGATGAACAAGAGTAGACCTTTTTCTAACCTCTCTAGACCTCCAATGAAAGCTAATACAAGTTTGAGGAAAGAAATGAACGACACAATGAAAGGCTTCCTTCCAAAATCTAAAACTCAGAAAAAGAAGAAGGATAAGTTTAGAGATACTGCTATTTTCGGTGATATTCCTCAGAATATTTGTTCAGACTCAGACTGTGAAATTCCAGAATCCTCTACAATATCAAACAATCTACAAGGATCTATCGATCTTGTAAGGCTACGGTCACAATTGAGTCTGGCTCCTATCATAACCGGTAAGGGACAGAATCTGATAAGTCTAGGTGAAGAGTTGAAATTAGTCCCGAAACTAGATGATGGTGATCACTGACTCCAAAGGTAGGACTTATTAACTAACCTTCTAGTCTAAAGCCCTGAGTCTACCAGATGAAGTACAAGCCAGGCTGGGTAGAGCCCTCCTTGGAGATATTCAAGTTCTAGTCTGGCTCCATTTTAGTATAATTTAGGTGTCAATAGCTGCTGAAAATTAAGGGGTTTTGGGGTTTTGGGGTTTTGGGGTTTTGGGG